TATAGCACAATACAATAATTGGTAAAGTTTCATTGTTTTAGTTTTAATTACTATTAAAGGTAATGCGATAAGCCATTAACGGCAATAAAAGTAATCGTAATTGATGTACTCAGGTATAATGTAGGTGATTACTTTAGACCTCTTTGATCTCAGATAATATTCTTTAATTCAATACCACGATAAAATAATTATTACGGTCAGTATACAAAATATGTATTATGATTAATCATTGTAATTTAATATGCGCAGGTAAGTAGGCAGGTAACAAATATTAAGACACACTTGATAAAGATAGGCTGGCTTTTGTGCATTGCCAAATCGTATGATATCAATTAATATTATGATATCGACTAACGCACGCCACAAATATCTACCTACTTAAACCCTTTGCAAAACGCCCTATAGATAATTAGGTACCTACATAATTTTTTTCCGAGGTAACTGCAGTTTTGCAATTAACATTAAAATTGATTTAATTATTAGTAGTTGTTGTATTACCTTTTCATTGCAGCTTAGTGCTTATYCTTGCACTTTAAATAATTGTCTAGTCGATTCACYTATTGTTTTTATATTTTAAACTCACAGATCGCTGTTTCTTACCTCCAGACGAAGGCAATTGTGGAAATCGATTGACTTTGAGAGTAAAATACTACTTCGACTCAACTAATGACGACTGCTCAGAATTCATTTACTTCGGTTGTGGTGGCAACGATAATCGATTTGACACATTCGAAGAATGCGAAAATACATGCATATTCTACGGGTTTTAAAATAAGCCATCTTCGACTGGATCTTCTGTGTTGGTTGCAGACGTTTTACAATATTGTCAATAAATGTTTTAATATGTGAGTCACCGTAATGACATTTTTCGATTAAATCACTTAAATCATATATATATAATAAAATTAATTATTTCATAGCATTTGTTCGCAGTATTATATTAATTTTGTAAGTTTATTAATATAATATTGGTAGATAATACTTCCGATTGTGTGTAACATTTAGATATTTTGTACCATACATGTGTAACGTGTGCGTTATGTTTTTCTGTACCCACATACCTTATACCAGCTTGTTATCGTTTACAAATATAATATTATATACTCACGGTTCGAGGACTTTAGATCGGTGATCACTTGACGCATATTTTTGATGACACWCGTTATAATTTTTTTTTCACTCAAGCATGTACGATATTCTAAAACGATAAGTGAACAACTGTCGAAACTGAACCAAAAAAATAAATAAAATATAATGAGCTATGGTTATTAGTTGTTGTGTTCTTTGCGTCCACCCACCGGACAGTTAATATTAACAAATTTTATCTTATAATTATTATATCATTAATCACATAAAAAAAAAATTGAAACGTATAACTTAATTTAACCTATTTTACATTGTTATTAAACTTCATTGTAAAAATCCCTTATGTACATAACTACTTAATTTAATTGTAAACTAATAACCATGATGTTGATGCAGTAACAATAAAAAAAATATATATTATATCATTATATATTTAAAGATTACATTTTTTATGTTTTACTTTGTTCGATATTCAAAGACTTATGCAGTTATTTATTTCAGTGAGTATCATCAC